TATATATATATATATATATATAGGGAGCTTATACTGTGAGAATGAGAATGTTTAATCTCAATGCATAAATTAAAATAAATGACATATATTAAAAGGTTGTAAATAAAGTTAACATGTACTTATATTAAATTTCAATTATTCAATCATTGAAATAAAAGTTTTTAATGCATAGATGCAGTCTATAAATATTTTAAAAATTTGAAAATCATTTGATACTTCCTTTCATTAATTCAAATTGACGAATAATCATAAAAGTATTTTTATAAATTGATTTGAACTAATGAAACGAAGTATCAAATAACTTTCAAACTTTTTGAACACACACACACACACAACGACTCAAGTGAGAACACCTGTGTATATGAGAACACACACAGAACGACTCAAGTGAGAACACCTGTGTATATGAGAACAACAACTAATAATAACCCTTAAATTAAAATATAGAAATACAATTATTACATACCATCTCTATCGTAGTTACCTCTATCATTGTTGTTGTCACCAAACCATTACAATCGTCACCATCATTCTCGTTGCTGCCGTTGTCAGTAGTGATAAAAGTTGTTACGATGGATGGTGGTTGTGCAACAATGTAGTGGTAGCAACAATGGTAACAACAACGGCAGTGGTGACAACGATAGTGGTGGTTGTGAAAATGGTGACGATGGTTGCAATGGTGGTGGTGACAACAATGATAGAGGCTACCACGATTGTAGTGATAAATAATAGCTTTATTTGTAATATTTTAATTGAAGTTATTTAATTTAATTTAATGATTGTCATTAGTTGTTCTTATGTTCCCTTATATAAAAAATGCTTTTACTTACTTCATCCCTATAAAATTTGACTAAATTTAAGAATGACCAAATACTTGAATTTCAAAGAGGCAAAAACTATGAAAAAATGTTCCGAAGACATCTCTTTTTTATTCGCCTAGCTATACCCTAGACACTTTATTATTATATCCATTTTATCTAGATGATGGGTTTAGTTATCTAAATTCTAATGTTAGAAGAGGCAAACTTATTATTGGATTTTAGGAAAAAAAGATATTATTGTTGTATTTTCTCTAAAGACTAGATCTCTATGTAAACCCTTTAATTTTATAATTCCCTTGTAATTTGGAAATGGGAGAGTTATGAAATATATAACCTAGATGTATTATTTTAAATATTGTGGTTGTCATATTTCTTAATAGAAGTTATTTAAGACTAAATTAGTTGGTAATTAAATGACTATGTAAATTGGGGGGGGGGGGGGGGGG